AAATAATTGTTTGTCTCATTTGCGAAGCTGAGAATTGTTTGACACGTAATAGAAATTCTTGACATTCTTTAAAAATGACATTGTGTAAATAAAGGACTGTTTAGGGCAGATTCTGCAATACTTCAAGTTAGTTTCCCTTTTTTCTTTCTTCTTCGCTTTTGAAATTGTCTGATAATATTCTTTTAAACTAAGAGTTTAACTTTTTGCTGCTATTTGAGACAACTGATGAGTGACAAAACCCATCTTCTTCTGCTCCTGAGCCAGCAGAGATCAGTCCTCTAAACACATTTCAGCATGTCAAAATCATAAATTAAATTAAAGGCGGCAGCAGCAGAAGAAAAAAAGCTTATGATTTCTGCCCCCTTTTCTCAAAATGAGCAAGTCAGTAACTGTAAACCAATAACGATCTTACCAATAATATCCAAAGTGATCGAAAAAGCAATAGCTGAGCAGCTCACTAGTTACTTGAAAAAAAAAAAATCAGCTTCTTTGTCCAGTCCACCGAGCCGGCTCTTGGCATAGGCGAACTAGGCGGTCGCCTAGAGCGCCATCTGCTGGAGGGGGCACCGAACTGCAGAAGAAAAAAAATCTCCCGCAAAATGGGGCTGTCCTACAACATTTCCCAAGTAAACTGTTCTGCCACATGTCCTGTTTTACTACAATAACGTAAGCGCCAAATATAAATACCTCCATCGCTGGCGAGGATGCACCTGTTCTGCATGAAGTACGAACCGAGCCGAGACCGCCTGGTGTGCTGCAGCGCGCACATGGTGCGAGTCAGATTCACTGTTTTGTTTGTCCCATATTAAAGCAAAGATGAATCTCTGTTTAATGTTTACCTCCTCCTCCTCACCAGGAGAACTGACAAAAGTTATTTTCTTTATGTCACCTTTGTGTGGCACAGAGTTAGTTTATGGCTGTGTCCAAAACGGCAGGACGGGTCCTCCGAAGGTCAAATTTGTCGGCCGCATACGTCACAGCGCCGCGACGAAGGACRTCCAAAACGGAAGACTCCTCCGATGCGTCCGACAAATACGTCCTTCTTTTTCCCCGAATTGAAGGACAGGTCTGATGGATCCTTCCCGGCCCAGCATATCCCATAATGC